GTGTTTCACCATGTTGGCCAGGGTGGTCTCAAACCCCTGACCTCAGGTGATCTGCCCACCTCGGCCTTCCAAAGTGCTGGGATTACAAGTATGAGCTATTGTACCCGGCATCCATCTGTTTGTCAACTCCACTACCAGCTCATCTTGGCTTTGACTATGGGGCAGGGAGTTGGAGCTGATAAATACATGCTACATGGGCATAGCCATCAGCCACACAAGCCTGAAGTGACTCCCCTGACCTTACTACAATCACGCCATCACCCCACCAGCTACTTTCCTCAAATCTAACCAGGCTCTTGACAGGTGGCTTCTGTAGGTGAATACCCAACTCCTATAACTGCCTTGTTTGTGAACCTATCATCTCTACTAAGAGTACCTTTCCTGCCCTGCCTTCTTGGGGTCACACTTGTATCTTTTATCAACTAGAGAGGAGAAACAATCCTAAACCCCTGTGTTAGATGGCCTGTGCTAAAATAATTCATTTTTTTCTTTCTCTTTTTCTTTTCTTAGAGACAGGATTTCACTCCAACACCCAGGCTGGAGTGCAATGGTGTGATCTCAGCTCACTGAAGCCTTGACCTTTTGAGTTCAAGCGATCCTCCCACCTGCATCTCCCAAGTAGTTGGCACTACAGGTGTGCACCACCACAGAGTTTTGCCTTGTTGCCTAGGCTGCACTCGAATTCCTAGGCTCAAGCTATCCTGCACTGGCTTCTCAAAGTGTTAGGATTATAGGCATGAGCCAGTGCGCTCCGCCAAAGATACTTCATTTTATATTTCTTGACAATCCTCACATGCAAGCCCAGTACATTTTGCTGTTTAGCAACAATTTCTTTTCTTTTCTTTTTTTTTTTTGAGACGGAGTCTCACACTGTCACCCAGGACAGAGTGCAGTGGCACAATTTTGGTTCACTGCAACCTCTGCCTCCCAGGTTCAAGCTCTCCTTCTGCCTCAGCCTCCCGAGTAGCTGGGACTACAGATGCGTGCCACCACGCCCAGTTAATTTTTGTATTTTTAGTAGAGATGGGGTTCTACCATTTTGGCCAGGATAGTCTTGATCTCTTGACCTCGTGTTCCGCCCACCTCAGCCTCCCAAAGTGCTGAGATTACAGGCGTGAGACACAGCACCCGGCCTTTAGCAGCAATTTCTAAATCCTCCCTTAACCACTCACCTGTACATTAAGTAGCCTTGCACGTCCCCCTGTTCCAGAATACACTCCTAGAAGCATCCAACTGGTTCCGTTTTATACAACTTTTCCAGGACTTAAATAGAAGAAAGAATTGTATATGGAGGTTTGCTATCATAATCTCAATAATGTATAAAATGTCAAAACTCTCTTAATTCCTCTGTCACACTATTCTGTCTTCTACGCTTGATTATCTTTTTTTTTTTTTTTTAAATGGAGTCTCACTCTGTTGCCCAGGCTGGAGTACAATGACATGATCTCAGCTTACTGCAACCTCTGTCTTTCAGGTTCAAGCAATTCTTCTACCTCTGCTTCCTGAGTAGCTGGGATGACAGGCACACGCCACCATGCCTAGCTCATTTTTGTATTTTTATAGAGATGGGGTTTCACTATGTTGGCCAGGCTGGTCTTGAGCTCCTGACCTCAGGTGATCCATCTGCCTCGGCCTCCCAAAGTGCTGGGATTACAGGCGTGAGCCACTGCCCCTGGCCAATCTTCTACTCTTGAAATAACCCAATAAGATTCAGATAAAGTACATAGCACCTTGGATATAGTTTTTTGTTTGTTTGTTTGAGACAGGGTCTCACTCTGTCACCCAGGCTGGAGTGCAGTGGCATAATCTTGGCTCACTGCAGACTTGACCTCCCAGGCTCCAGCCATCCTCCCACCTCAGCCTCCTGAGTAGCTGGGACTATATGTGTATGCCACCACACGTAGTTTTTTAGTATTTTTTTGTAGAAATAGGGTTTCACCATATTGCCCAGGCTGGTCTTGAACCCTTGGGCTAAGAATATCCTTCTACCTTGGCCTCCCAAAGTACTGGGATTACAGGGGTGAGCCACCATGCCCAGCCTATATGTTTTTAACAAATTTTAGTTCTCTTGTCAACTACTTGACTAATCTATCCTATCCAATGTAGGGTTTTGGCCAGCTGTGGTAGATCATGCCTATAATCCCAGCACTTTGGGAGGCTGAAGTGGGTAGACTGCTTGAGCTCAGATGTTCAAGACAATCCTGGGCAACATGGTGAAACTCCATCTCTACAAAAAATACAAATATTTAGCTGGGCATGGTGGCATGCACCTGTAGTCCCAACCAATCAGGAGGCTGAGGTGGGAGGATCACTTGAGCATGGGAGATAGAGGTTGTAGTAAGCTGAGATCATGCCACTTCACTCTAGCCTGGGCAACAGAGCAACACCCCACCTCAAAAAAAAAAAGAAATTATGTGTGTACACACACACACACACACACACACACACACACCTAAGTTTTTTTTTTTTTTTTCATCTCTGAATTCTCTTCAAATGTTACTGCACTTTACTCAGTCCATAATAATAGGGAACTATTTGTCTTTTTTTTTTTTTTTTTTGATGGAATCTCACTCTTTCTCCCCAGGTTGGAGTACAGTGCCACGATCTCAGCTCACTGCAACCTCCACCTCCTGGGTTCAAGCAATTCTCCTGCCTCAGCCTCCCGAGTAGAGTAGCTAAGATTACAGGCGCCTGCCACCATGCCCAGCTAATTTTTTGTGTGTTTTTAGTAAAGATAGGTTTTCATCATGCTGGCCAGGCTGGTCTCGAACTCCTGACCTCAGATGATCTAGCCCACCTTGGCCTCCCAAAGTGCTGGGATTATAGGCATGAGCCACTGCGCCCAGCCACTATTTATTTGACTTTTTAATGAACATTTGGGTGGGAATGCTTACCTTCCCAGATCACAGGAAAATGGTTAATGTTTTTAAATCTGCATAGATATTAATGTCAATTTAAGAAGGCACTTTTTTGAACACCCTCCATGAGTAGTGCTAGAAGTAGAGAGTATATATAAGGAAATGTATATGGCACATATTCGCTGCCTTCTAGAAGTTTACCATGCAATTACTGAAATAAAATATGTGCTGGGCATGGTGGCTCATGCCTATGATCCCAGCATTTTGGAAGGCAGAGGTGGGTGATCACCTGAGGCCAGGAGTTCAAGACCAGCCTGGCCAACATGGTGAAACCCTGTCTCTACTAAAAATACAAAAAAAAAAAAAAAGAAAGGCTGAGCACGGTGGCTCACACCTGTAATCCCAGTACTTTGGGAGGCCAAGGTAGGCGAATCACAAGGTCAGGAAATCAAGTCCATCCTGGCTAACACAGTGAAACCCTGTCTCTACTAAAAAAAGAAATAGCAAAAATTAGCCGGGCATTGTGGCACACACCTGTAGTCCCAGCTACCCGGAAGGCTGAGGCAAGAGAATCGCTTGAACTTGGGAGGTGGAGGCTGCAGTGAGCCAAGATGGCACCACTGCACTCTAGCCTGGGAGACAGAGTGAGACTTCATCTCAAAAAAAAAAGAGTAGCCCGGCATGGTAGCTCACACCTTAATCCCATCTACTCAGGAGGCTGCAACAGGAGAATCACTTGAACCTGGGAGGCAGAGGTTGCAGTGAGCCAAGATCACACTGCTCCACTGCAGCCTCGGTGACAGAGCAAGACTCTGTCTCAAAAAAAAAAAAAGAAAGAAAAATATGCATATGAAACTGCTGAAAAAAATACAAGGTAACAGTGTATACCTGGTCTTCTGGTTTCTAGCCTCTCCCTCTTGTGATCCATCCCACAAATTGCTTCATAGTACCAAAATGCTGCATTCTAAATGTCACTCCCCTCTCTCTGCTTAAAAACCTTCAGTAGTGGCCAGGCGTGGTGGCTCATGGCTGTAATCCCAACACTTTGGGAGGCTGAGGTGGGCAGATCACCTGAGGTCGGGAGTTCAAGACCAGCCTGATCAACATGGAGAAATCCTGTCTCTGCTAAAAAAAATACAAAATTAGCCGGGCTTGCCTGTAATTAGTGGTGTATGCCTGTAATCCCAGCTACTTGGGAGGTTGAGGCAGGAGAATCGCTTGAACCCAGTAGGCAGAGGTTGTGGTGAGCTGAGATTATGCCATTGCACTCCAGCCTGGGTAACAAGAGCAAAATTCTGTCTCAAAAAAAACAAAAAACACAAAACCCTTCAGTAGTTCCCTACAGACTATAGAATGAACTTTGAACTTGGCCTGGCAATCAGGCTTCCACAATGTAGAGTGAAACAAACATCTCTAACTTCCCATCTTATAACTTGTGAACAAATGAAACTTCTGCTTCATATCAAGTCTCCTCATCCTCTGAACATGTTTGTATTCCCGCCTCCATCTTTGCTCATGTTAGTTTCCCTACCTGATTTTCCCTCTCCCTGCCTCTTGTATTTTAATTTTTTTTTTTTTTCAAATCCACATTCTACCTTCTAAGGCCCAGCTCAAGTGCATGGTCTAGAGACTTTTTCATTAAGCATTCCCCTTGCTACTTCAGTCCACAGAGCTCTCTTAACTTCCTTTTTCCTAACTTCCCTGGTATGTACAATCTGCAGCATCTGTTTGGCACTTAGCATATACTATCATTCATATTTATATATCTAAGGCTATAGTACAGTCTTATAAATCTTATATTGTTTTATAGCCCTAACATCTAGCACACGGATCTGCACAGGGTAGGTATTTTATGATTGTTTGTTAATGTGGTATTAAAGATAAATCAAGTATACATACCCCTAAGATCAGTTTTTAACACCTCCCCAGCAACCAGACACACTTTAAATCCATCATATCCAAATTCTTTAACCCTTTTTCTTTCTTTTTTTTTTCCTTCTGCTCAGCAAACTGTGTTTTAAATTTAACCTTTTCTTCTTCATAAATCAGTGTAAGCTAAGCCTCTCCCATAAATTCAGGTGGTATTTTTCTATTCCACCCCTCAGCATTCCCAGGTTCCAGAAGACAAAGCCCAATACTCACAGTGAACTTTATTTGGATTTGTCTGTTTCCGACGGGACATGTTTCCCTGATCCAAGAGCTCTGATCCTTCCCAGTTTAATGACTGGATATATTACTACCACCTTGCAAGATGCTAACCTACAATAAGAAAGGTTATTGTTAGCACGTCATTTTTCCCCAGCAGTTATATAAAATTTAAAGATAAAATATCTTTACAAAACAGCTCCTGAGCATACAAAACTCACCAATTATAAACACTTGAACTAATGAAAGAAAGAAATGAATAAATCTCTAGCCTAATGTCAAGGTCCCAGAAAGTTTAAGAGGGGACTTCTTCAGAGGATTTAGAGAATTATACTCTAAATCCATCTTTGGAATCCAGAATACTGTTAAGTGATCACGATCGAGGTCACAGGATAAAAGAGGAAGCAAAACTCAGGCAACCAGGGTTACAAGTATTGAGGGCTCAAGGGGATAACCCTCATGAATTGCAAAAGGAAGCAAAAGGAAGCCAAAGAGGGTGGCAGCTCGCATGTCACATGCCCACTGGAAGTCAAGCCCTGCGATCTACACCAGTGGATTTTTTGTGACATTATCTTGCTTACAGTTAGCAAAGGCATCACATCTCTGTGAGACAGAAAATGTCTCAAATAGCCATCTGTAAATGAGAACAGCATAGGAAATAAAGCCTCTATCTGGTGATAGAGGCTCAATGCTATGCACTGTGGATGACATGGCACTAAGCAAATCAAACTTCTAATGTTGAAAATGGGCTCTGACCAGAAGGGACAGATACCATCCACACTGATGAGTACTAATACAACATCCCAGTATGGAATACCACCTGGGCCTCCTCACATGTTCCAGAGTGGTAGTCAAAGTTTATAATTTTAGACTCTTCTCAATCAAGCCTCTGTGTAGCAAAGAGATCACTGGGAACAAAGAGAAAAGCTCCCCAAATGAAAAATGCTGCCAAGACATGCATCTGCTCCCCACCTCAAAGAGAAGGGGATACATAGGGAAGCCTGGAGTTTCCTGATAACTACAGAAAGAGTGTCCCAGCCTTAAGCACTGTTAGAGTCCGAGATGGATTAGTATCGATAGCTGTGACATTTTCTTAGAAAGATAGAGTGAATAAACACACATAGAATAAAAAGGGATTGGATTTCCTACCAAAGACAGGAATATGGATCTGGTCACTCTGTAAGTTTTCTTTCAGTTCCTTCCTGCTTTCTTGAGTTACACTCACACTGAATAAGCAAATATAAAATTATAGTTTATTGCCTTAAGAGGAATTATGGGAGACTACTGCTAGCTATACTTTGTACTCCTGCTAATGAAGACTCACCTCCTGTTATGCCAACTAACTCCTCTATGTAGCTAGAAGGACCTCAAACCTATAATCAGATCCTGCCTCCCCTTACCAAAAGAAGAAAGAAACCGCAAATGGCAAAGACAGGCCTCCACAGGAAGTGGCAAAGGAAGCAGCTTTCAGGCAGTCTTCTAGCATATCTGCACATCAAACAGTTCTTTTTCAGACCTTTAATTAAAAACAAAACAAAACTCTAAATGTATACAATAAAAATTGATTTTAACTAGAAGGCAATATAGTAAGTACTGATTAATGCAGGCTCTATTAATATTTTTAAAAATATGGTCAGGTGCGGTGGCTCATGCCTGTAATCCCAGCACTTGGGAGGCCAAGGCAGGCAGATCACTTGAGGCCAGGAGTTTGGGACCAGCCTGGCCAAAATGGTGAAACCCCGTACAAAAATTACTTTGGCATGGTGGCACACACCTGTAAATCTCAGCTGCTTGGGAAGCTGAGCACGAGAATCACTTGAACCTGGGGAGTGGATGCTGCAGTGAGCTGAGATTGAGCCACTACACTCCAGCCTGGGTGATAAAGCGAGACTCCATCTCAAAAAATACATAAATAAAAACAAAAAATAAAATATACTCCTTTAATGTGATAATAAATATTGAGACTAAAAATATGTATACTTCTCTATTATAGAAGAAAACACCAGAATCTTGACTTAATTTTTATATTTTCTCCTTTCGAGATCAGAAATTGAAACTGTAAGATAAAGATAAAGTCTCTTCTGAAGGAAAGCCAGATAATTTGAATCAGGCAACATTTCAATATACTAAAGCTGCAAGTCAGAAGACAGAGATGAGTATCTGCATATTTAAATCAGCACTGGCCGCTGCATCTCATAATCCTCCTAGTGGTCAAATGGGGAACTGACCAGATGGTACCCAACGGGACTTCACACCTGAGTGATCAAGAGAAAAATAAGCAATTACGGTCCTTTCCCACACAACGAAACGAAAATAATAACAAAAACACCCACAAAAACAGGCCTGTAAGGTCATAGGCTGTTGAAAATAAATAAGTAAATACGTAAATGCCGCTGAAAGGACATTCTTGGCCACAAAGCAAGATCTCGGAGGCCAGATAACTGTTTTATAGGCATTAAAGCTAATGAAACCCAGAGACACACAGCCCTAAAGGTCACTCATTCCGTTTTACTTTAGCACTGCCTCAATTTCCAAACCCAAATCTGAAACCAAACCAAAGATGTAAACAGCTGCCTGAACATGGGCTGGGAAGATGGGTAAACGGTGAGATTCAGGTCTAAAGGGGCTCTATTGTAAAAAGAAGGCAGCACAGTCTGTCTTTAGAGCGAGGGTAAGAGTCCTTGGGAAGGTGCAACGTCTCCCCTGAACACTGTCTCTGCTCTCCCACAGGTGTTAGGTTGCAGCTTCTAGGGCACACCATAGACTTTAGCAAGAAAAAAACGGACGAAATCCCAGCTTGAAGAAAAGAGAGCGTTCCCACCTCCAGCTCTGGTGCAGTTCCCACGGAGCAAAGCAAACTCGCCTGAATCCAAGTGATCTGTATCTGCCAAAAGGGAGAGGACAAGAAAGCTGGTCATCTAGCCGCCTGGCTGTTCACCTGTCCCCTGGGGTTGGGTCTGGGACGTGCGTCTAATCAGCCGAGATGGTCCCTCTTCTCCTTCAAGCACGAGTCCAGGTAAATTCCCAGGAATTACCAGAAAAGAGCCGGAGGTCTTCCGAGGCGGCTCAGACAAACCCTTAGACAACACAATCTTCTCTAAAATCTAAATTTAGAAGCTTTTCTGCAAGACCCAGACGCCGGGACCGATACCCCCCAGTCTGCACGCCCACGCCCATCCTCCCCTCCCCCAGCTCCACCCAAGGCTGTCAGACGCCGGGGCCGTCCCCGCCAGAGCCCTAGGAGGCGGGGTGCCCGCGGCCCGCGCAAACGCCCCCCGGCCCCGCGCCCGAGAGCTCCAAGGGGCAGCAGGAGGAGCCGCCGGGGAGGGATCGGGGGTGGGCGCGGGGAGGGTGAGCCCGGGCTGCCCCCAGGCCGGAGCTGGCCCCCGGCCCTCTCCCCAGCGCAGACAGACAAAAGGACAGACAGCCGGCGGCCGCGAGGGGGCGAGGAGCCCGTATCCCTCGCCCGGCCCCTGAGGGAGGGCTCGGGGGTCTTTTTACCCGGTGCCTTGGCGCAGCGCTGCGCTCCGGGTACCTGGGCCCCGCCTCCGGACAGACGGACCGCCGGACAATGGGCCCGGGACCGCAGCTCAGGCCAGCCGGACCAGGGCACTCCGGGACTGGGCCCGGCCGGCGGAAGGGGCTCCGGGCCGAGCCGATGGCTGGGAGCCGAGGGATGGCGCTGCAGACGGACAAAGCCAACGGCAGACAGACAGACAGAGGGGGAAAAGATGGCGACGCGGGCGACGGGAGCGCGCGGCTCGCGCACCCGCAGCCAGTGGAGCGCGTGCACGAACCTCTCTCTCCCCCTCCCCCAAGCCAGCCCGGTCCCCCTCCCCGCGGCCCGGCGCGCGCCCGGCGCTGTGGGAGGGGCCTGATGAGAGGGGCTCCGGGGAGCGCCCAATCCCGGGCGCTCGAGAGCGGAGCCGGGGCTCGAGAGGGGATCGCTCGCGTCCCAGGGCTCCAGGACCCCCAGACCTCGCCCGCTCCCAGGTCTTTCTCTGGCTGTCTCAGCTGCTCAGCTCCCCAAACCTTCCTGGACGTGTAAACGCCACACCACCCAGCCCCGATCCTGGTTTCCTACCCCACCATCGAGTTCAGCCACAAAACCCACATCCCCCAACCACAGCTCTGCCGCAGGCTCCCCCTCTCCTTAGCCCGACCTTAGCCCGGATCCCCACCACCTTCACAAACCCTCTTCGCCTCATTCCCCTACGCGTCGCGGTGGCTTCGGCTCCAGAGGCTTTGAATGTGACCACCGGCCTTGGTGGGAGGAGCCAAGTTCAGCTGTCAGAACCACAGAGCAGGGAAATCTTGAGATTTCTTTTGAGCATTTAATTTTCTGACATGATTTTCAACTGATAAAATAACATTCGCTGCCAACCCAGAGGAAGGGAAACTTGTGGCACTGTTGCCACGTGAGGCGTGTTTGGGGGCAATCGAGAGATTGTTGGACTTTTTTTTTTTTTTTTCCAGACAGAGTCTCGCTCTGTCACCCAGGCTGAAGTGCAATGGCGCGATCTCGGCTCACTGCAACTTTCGCCTCTCGGGTTCAAGCGATTCTCCTACCTCAGCCTCCTGAGTAGCTGGGACTACAGGCGTGCGTCACCATGCCCAGCTAATTTTTGTATTTTTAGTAGAGATGGGATTTCACCATGTTGGCCAGGCTGGTCCCAAACTCCTGACCTCAGGTGATCCACCCGCCTCAGCCTCTCAAAGTGTTCGGATTACAGGCGTGAGCCACTGTGCCCGGCCTGGTTGGACGGACTTCTAGTCAAACACCTCCTCCTGTCCTCGTCCTTCTCTCTCCTAGTTCCCGTTGCCTTCTTTTCTTCCTCTCTGTCTTCTAGAACGCCTAAGCCTGCCCTGACATGCTTACCTGGAGAAGTATGGAATGCAGAGGAAAGAAGATGAGATCTGGTATTAGAAGATCCCACTTTGAGCCCCAGTTGTGCCACCAACCAGCCTGTTGACTTTGGGCAAGTCACTTCCCTGTTCTGAGCCTCTGCTTCCTAAGATGTGAAATGGATAATGATGCAATAATTTCTAGCCTCTACTCTCAGTGGGTTGTTGTGACAGTTAAGTGAAACAAATGGCTAAAAGCATCATGCAATTGTTACTTCTGATTACTGGCCCCACAGACGATGCTGACATTTGCTGATGAAGTGACAAGTCCTGGTATTTGCATAGGACATTCTTGCAAATTGTCTTTCCCCCAAATATTTTGTGAGATGATCTCATTGTCCGCATCTTGTGTTCAACTTAATAGAATGGCTACATTGAGGGATCTTGGTCCTTCACAATTCTGTGATAAATAGCTCATTCATCATTCACTCACTCATTTGTTTATTGTGATTGGGATAAATAGTAATTAACATTGTTTCACTTCAGTCAAGGAAACATTTTAATTTCATTTAAAAACTTAATTTCTAAGTAGATAGAAAATGGAATATCATCCAACCAGCAAGTTTTTATAGTATTTTGTATAGGACTGCAACTAGAATACACATTTTTATATTTAACAGTAATTGTTGATCAGTTTAGACTAAGGGATACAAGTATGGCTTTATTATGTCACTTTAAAGACTTAGTTCACATTTTCAACAGAAAACTAGCTAACACTCCAGCCTAGAAGACAGAGCGAGACAATGTCTCAAAACAAACAAACACCTGACCTGATAATGCCAGCCTAGGCAGCAGGGTGAAACCCCATCTCTACAAAAAAAAAATACAATAAATTAACCAGGTATGGGGCATGTGCCTGTAGTTTCAGTTACTCAGCAGGCTGATGTGGGAGGATCACCCGAGCCCAAGATCATGGCTGCAGTGAGTCATGATTACACCACTGCACTCCAGCCTGCATGACAGAGTGAGACCCTGTCTTAGGCAAACAAAACATAAAAACAAACAAAAAAAACTGATAATGATTTTTGACCTGCACCTGCTTCACAAAAATGTCAGCCTCAAACTGAGATAATGTGCGTATAAGTGCTTTGTAAACTGTAAAATGCCACAAAGATAAGTTTAATATTCGTATATAGCCCTAATCAGTGATATTGATAAGTTCTCTGAAAGCTTGCTTCATAGGTTCTCTACAAAATGATCTTGATTTTTCTTTTCCCTGGGCTTTGAGATGTCCAGAGCAGTTCCTATTTCATTGTATGTTCTTTTATCACTGTTCATTTCTTTTCTTTTCTTTTCTTTTTCTCCTTCATTGTATATTCTTTAGTCTAAAAGCTGAGATGTTCCTCTTTCTAAATGTTAGTAGTGAAACAAGGGAAATAACTCTATGCCCATCATCTTTCCCTTCTTTCTCTTACACAATGTGTAGTCGTTTTATTGCAGAAGTTAGCAAACTTTTTTTGCTTTTTTTTTTTTTTTTTTCCAGACAGTGTCTTACTCTATCACCCAGGCTGGAGTGCAGTGGCTCAATTTCAGCTCACAGCAACCTCTTCTGCTTCCCAGGTTGAAGCCTCAGCCTCCTGAGTAGCTGGGATTACAGTGTACCACCACGCCTGGCTAATTTTTGCATTTTTTTTTGCAATGTTAGTTCACTTTATTTTTCTTGTATAAAAACCCTGTGTTGTAGCCACAGCTGGAGCTTGGGTCCTCTGCATGGAGACTCTGGTGTGGGTCTTGATGAGGTGGTCAGTGAATTCCTGATAGGGAGACTTGGTGAATACAGTCTCCTTCCAGAGATTGGGGGTCAGGTAGCTGTAAGTCTTAGAGATGGCATCAAAGGTGGCCTTGGCAAAGTTGCCAAGGTGGCAGTACAGCCCCTAGCTGAGGTGTAGCAGTCATTGATGGCAGCCATCATGAGCAGCTTCTTGGGCACAGGTACTGAGATGATGCCAGTGCCCCTGGGCACGGGGATGAGGTACACCAGCACAGAGCCACAGTGGCCTGTCACCTTGCAAGGGACGGTGTGGGGCTTGCCCATCTTGTTCCCCCAGTAGCCTCTGTGCATGGGGACAATGGAGAGCTTGGCCAGGATGATGGCTCCACGGATGGCAGAGGCCTCCTCCTTGGAACACTTAACACCCAGACTGACGTGACCATTGTAGTCCCCAATAGCAACAAACACCTTGAACCTGGTGCGCTGGCCAGCACGGGTCTGCTTCTGCACCAGCATAATCTTCAAAACCTCATCCTTGAGAGAGGCCCCCAGGAAAAAGTCAATGATCTCAGATTCCCTGATGGGCAGAGAGAAGAGATAGATCTCCTCCAGAGATTTAATCTTTATGTCTTTGACCAGGCGGCCCAACTTGCTGACGAGCATCCACTCCTTATCCTCGGCTTTGCCTTGGGGAGCTCCGCAGCGTCGGCCCCGGCCCCAACCCTGGCCCCGTCCATGGCCACGACCCCGGATGCCACTGCTGAAACCTCCGTGGAAGCCACCGCAGTTTCCCATCCCAGGGCTCCCAGGACCTCTGGCCCCCCCATCTCAAAAAAAAAAAAATTAATCCTCATGCCTTTTTTTTTTGTTTTTTTTTGAGATGGAGTCTCGCTCTGTTGCCCAGGCTGGAGTGCAGTGGTGCGATCCACTCCACCTCCCGGGTTCAAGCAATTCTCTGCCGCAGCCTCCTGAGGAGTTGGACTTACAGGCACCCACAACCATGCCCGACTAATTTTTATATTTTTAGTAGAGATGGGGTTTCATCATCTTGGCCAGGTTGGTTTCAATCTAGTGACCTCGTGATCCACCCATCGCAGCCTCCCAAAGTGCTGGGATTACAGGCATAAGCCACCATGCACTGCCTCATGACTTTGTTAAGGTAGGTGGTGGTGTTTTACAGACGAGGAAACCAAGGCACAGAGAGATTAAGTGACTTGCAGAGTCACAAGAATCTGGTTACATTGGTTACTCTACTTCTGGAAAAGGGGACTGAAAGTCTGAGAATTAGAGGAGGGAGACATTTTCACTGTGCATCTATTTGAGCTATGTGTGTGGTTTGCCATGTTATGCATTACTTAAAATTTTTTTTTGAAACAGAGTTTCAAAAAAACTCTGCACACCAGGCTGGTGTGCAGTGGCATGATCTCAGCTCACTGCAACCTGTGCCTCTCAGGTTCAAGCAACTCTCCTGCCTCAGCCTCCCAAGTAGCTGGGATTACAGGTGTGTGCCACCATGCCTGGCTAATTTTTTCTAGCTTTAGTAGAGATGGGGTTTCACAACATGGACAAGGCTGGTCTTGAACTCCTGACCTCGTGATCTGCCTGCCTTGGCCTCCCAAAGTGTGGGGATTACAGGCATGAGCCAGTGCACCTGGCCATTTTTTTTTGAGACAGAATCTTGCTCTGTCCCCCCAGGCTCGAGTGCAATGGCGCGATCTCACTACAACCTCCACCTCCTGGCTTCAGACAATTCTTGTGCCTCAGCCTCCCAAGTAGCTAGGATTACAGGCACCTGCCACCATGCCCAGCTAATTTTTGTATTTTTAGTAGAGACGGAGTTTTGCCATGTGCCCAGTCTGATTTTAGCCATTTCTAAGTGTACGGTTCACTGGCAGTAAGTACATTCATACTGTTGTGCATCCACCACCACCATCCGTCTCCGGAATGTTTTCATGTCAAACAAACTCTGAACCCATTAAATAACAATTTCTCATTCTCCCTTCCATCTAGTCCCTGGCAATCACCATTCTACTTTTTGTCTCTGAATCTGAAGATGACTACTCTAGGTACCTCATATAAGTGGAATAATATGGTATTTGTCCTTTTGTGGCAGTTTGACTTCATTTAGCACGTCTTCAAGTTTTATCCATGTTGTAGCATATGTCAGAATTTCCTTTCTTTTTAAGACTAAATAATATTCTGTGTCTGTAAATACCATATTTTGTTTATGCATTCATCCCTTGATGGACAATTAGGTTGCTTTCACCTTTTAGCTATTATGAACTTTTTTTTTTTTGAGACAGAGTTTCGCTCTTATTGCTCAGGCTGGCGTGCAGTGGACTGATCTCGGCTCACTGCAACCTTTGCCTCCTGGGTTCAAGTGATTCTCCTGGCTCAGGCTCCTGAGTAGCTAAGATTACAGGTGTCCACCACCACACCCAGCTTATTTTTTGTATTTTTAGTAGAGATGGGGGTTTCACCTGTTGGGCAGGATGGTCTCGAAGTCCTGACCTTGGGTGATCCACCCGCCTCTGCCTCCCAAAGTGGTAGCATTACAGGTGTGAGTCACTGCACCCAGCCCACTTATTTTGTTTGTTTGTTTGAGACAGACTCTTGCTCTTTCACCAGGCACCAGGCTGGAGTGCAGTGGCACAATCTTGGCTCACTACAACCTCCGGCTCCCAGCTTCAAGCAATTCTCCTGCCTCAGCCTCCCGAGTAGCTGGGACTACAGGCATGTGCCACCATGCCCAGCTAATTTTTGTATTTTAGTAGAGATGAGGTTTCACTATGTTGGCCAGGATGGTCTCGATCTCTTGACTTCATGATCCGCCCACTTCAGCCTCCCAAAGTGCTGGGATTACAGGCCTGAGCCACCGTACCTGGCCCCCTTTTTGGTTTTTTTTGAGACGGGATTTCACTCTGTTGCCCAGGCTCGAGTGCAGTGGGGCGATCTCAGTTCACTGTAACCTCTGCCTCTCAGGCTCAGGCGATTCTCCTGCTTCAGCCTCCCAAGTAGCTGGGATTACAGGTGTGTTGCCACCACACCTGGCTAATTTTTGTATTTTTGGTAGAGATGATTTCACTGTGTTGGCCAGGCTGGTCTTGAATTTCTTACATCAGGTGATCCACCCACCTTGGCCTCCCAAAGTGCTGAGATTACAGGTATGAGCCACCACCAGCCAAAAAGCCCGCATTTTTTTTTTTTTTTTTTTTTTTTTTTGAGACAGAGTCTTGCTCTGTTGCCCTGGCTAGAGTGGAGTGGCACGATCTCCGCTCACTGTAACCTCTGTCTCATGGGTTAAAGTGATTCTCCTGCCTCAGCCTCTGGAATAGTTGGGATTACAGGTCCCCGCAACCATGCCTGGCTGATTTTTGTATTTTTAGTAGAGATAGGGGTTTCGCCATGTTGGCCAGGCTAGTCTCCCTCGGACTCCCAAAGTGCTGGGATTACAGGTGTGAACCACTGTGCCAGGCCAAAATCTGCACATTTTAAAGGAACCAAATACTATGTATTTTGAGGTTTTGGAAACTGGTGTTACTTTTATTATTATTTTTTGAGCTGCAGTCTCACACTGTTGCCCAGGCTGGAGTGCAGTGGTACAATTTCAGCTCACTGCAACCTCCGCCTCTCGGGTTCAAGCGATTCTCCTGCTTCAGCGTCCTGAGTAGCTGGGATTACAGGTGTGCACCGCTGCACCCAGCTAACTTATTATTATTATTTGTATTTTTTTTTAGTAGAGACGGAGTTTCACCATGTTGGCCAGGCTAGTCTTGAACTCCTGACCTCAGGTTTTCCACTGGCCTAGGCCTTCCAAAGTGCTGGGATTACAGGCATTGAGTCACTGCACTGGCTTGGAACTTGGTTTTATCTTGAAATGTTGCAAATGATTATAAAGATACAGTATTTCTAAACTCACATCAACATCTTACCATATTGGCTAGCTTCTACTTGTCGTATGAGTGCCCTGGTGCAAGCGTTAGATGCATACCCTATACAGCAGGGGTCAGATGACTTCCTTCTGGAGGCCCCCCCTTTTTTTTCTTTTTTCTCCCCGTGCTCGTGTTCCCCAGGCCGGAGTGCAATGGCACAATCTCGGCTCATGGCAACCTCCGCTTCCTGGGTTCAAGCAATTCTGCCTCAGCCTCCCGAGTAGCTGGGATTATAGGCATGTGCCACCAAGCCCGGCTAATTTTTATTTTATTTTATTTTTTGTAGAGACAGGGTTTCTCCGTGTTGGTGAGGCTGGTTTTGAACCCCCAACCTCAGGTGATCCGCCTGCATCGGCCTCCTAAAGTGCTGGGATTACAGGTGTGAGCCAGTGCACCCAGCCCTTTCACTTTTTTTTCTGTGGCCTAGGCTGGAGTGCTGCGGCGTGATCACCGTTTATGGCAGTCTCGACCTCCTGGGCTTAAGCGATTTTCCTGCATCAGCCTCCTGAGTAATTGGGACCACACGTGCGCACTGCCGCTCGCCATTTTTTTTTTTTTGAGACACAATTTCACTCTTGCTGCCTAGGCTAGAGTGCAATGGGGCGATCTCAGCTCACTGCAACCTCTGCCTCCCAGGTTCAAGCAATTCTGCCTCAGCCTCCCGAGTAGCTGCGATTATAAGCATGCGCCACCACGCCTGGCAAATTTGTTGTATTTTTAGTAGAAACGGGGTTTCTACACGTTGGCCAGGCTGGTTTCGTACTGCTGATCTCAGGTGATCCACCTGCCTTAGCCTCCCAAAGTGTTGGGATTACAGGCATAAGCCACCGCGCCTGGCCTGCTCGCCTAATTTTTAACTTTTTTTTGTAGCGATGGGGTCACCCTACGTTGCCCAGGCGGGTCCCCAGTTCCTGGGCTCAAGCGATCCTACCGCCTTGGCCTCCCGAAGTGCGGGGAAGGCCCCTTGCAAGGCTAAGCAGAGAATGGTTTTCAAGTTAAAAACAAAGATAACCAAGGAAAAACTTTCCTCTGAATAACGAGATAAATTAGGGAAATCGCCAGAGAATGTGGTGCTGAGGTCACACAGACCGCAGCAATTCTGGTTGAAAGGGCAACGAGTCAGCTTAAAAGCGGGACAGGGGAAAACGAGTCCGTAGAGTTACACGAAGACGCTAGGTGAAGAGTCAGAGATAGCAGGCTTCGAAACCTGCTTGGCAGCTCCAGCCAGGGGGAAAGTCCAGCGAGGGACGGGAGCAAATCTCAAGGAGCAACTCCTGGCGTCAGAGAGGCAGTACTGGGAGCCGGTTACGGAAGAATCCGAGGCCAGGGCATTGGGCGCGGTAAGGCCGTGGGCGCAGAGTCCAAGAACCAGCAGCCGTTTCTGGCCTCACCCCAACCAAAACAAAATTCCGGGCGCGTCCCCAGCAGCTGACTCAGTCTGCGTGTAGCTTCGCCCACCACCTCCCGTGCCTCCGCCGCGGGAAGTAGTCCCCGGCGGCGCCGGCTCCAAAGGAAACCGAGGGAGGGAGCCTCGCGTCAGCGTGTGGGTCCAGGCAGCGGCGATCGTGCAGCCAATCCCTGGAAAGGAGGGCGTGGCTAGCTCAGATCCCGTGGATCCCTCCGCCTGTGGTTGCTGTGCTGAGGCCTCGAGAGCCGCCATTTTGGATGCTGAACCGTGATTCTGAAGTCAGAGTCTGCAGTGTTCGCACCTGGATTCGGTCCGGTGAGTGTGGCATCCTCGGCGTTAGAGGTCTCCGTCTTCCTGTCTCCTCTGTGCTACGGGTTTAGCGGTTTCTAGCTAGCGCTAGGTCCTGGGCTTCAAACGACTTCGGAGTAGGCAGTTGAGGAGAAAGGGAAGGATCATGGAAGTGGGGGGTCAGACCGGAGGTCAGGTAGTCGAGGGCCCGCGGCTGGGGAGGTTGCCCGGGCCGGGGTGGCGGGCGTCACATGGTCGCAAGCAGCTCGGGGGCCGCTGGTCATTGATACTTGGAGCCGCTTAACTTTCCCGCAGTCTTCTTGCCCCGAGGTGTGTTTTCCCTGGGGCGGAAACGCCGCGGCCTCGGCGAGGGCTTCTCGGCGACACCCCTACCCCGTCTCTTCTGGCCCGGAGAGACTTCGGGAAGGTCGGGGCCTCCAGTGCCGCGAGAGACGGTTGTCCCTGAGCCCGGTCCACTTCCGCCGGGCGGGATAGCCTCCTGTCCTTGTTCCTGGGCTGAGGGGCGGACTTGGGCCCACTTTGGCCGGAAAAAATTACATTTGCTTTCGCTGAAGCAAGCAGCGGTTTCTGCTCGCTTTCTCGAATCCCTGCGTGTGTGGTGAGAAGTCTTGGGAGGATCCTTGCGCCTCTCCTCTTTGTTATCTCGGCGCTTCTCCTCCGGGGTGCTGGAGGTGAGCACTTGGAATTCACCAGCATAAACTTTGAGGAGGGTCGGGACCCAGGAACTGTAGGTTAATTATGAAAGACACAGCAGCTTTACTCTGTATTAGTAAACTTAAAATCTGGTCTGGAACAAATCTTTAGGGGAAACTTGAATTTTAAAACCATGCGTAATATTTTAGCTTTTTATTTTTTATTATGGAAAATGTCAGGCAGACATGAGTATGATGAATCCTCTCATCCAGTTTCAAACACAATCACTTAATGCCTAACCTTGTTTTATCTATACCTCTCCCATGTCTGTAGTTTTCTAAGTTAATAAACTAATAGTTGAAATACATGTATATATATTTCCTTCTCCTTTCGAAGTAGAAGCCTTTTGGCTTTTGTACCTACAAGCCGATATTTCATGGAAATGTTGTTTTTTAGCTTCCTCAGAACTTCTGGGATAGGACTTGGTAATAGTCATTAGATGATAAAAGTGGCCAGGTGTGGTGGCTCACCCCGGTAATTCTAGCACTTTGGGAGAGCTAGGTGGGAGGATCACTTAAGCCCAGGAGTTGGAGACCAGCCTAGGCAACATAGCAAAACCCCATTCTAGCTCTCTACAAAAATAAAAAATTAGCCAGGGGTGGAGGCGCGCATCTATAGTCCGGGAGACTGAGGTAGGAGGATTGTTTAAGCCTGGGAGGTCGAGGCTGAGTTGGTAATTGAGTCACCGCACTCCAGTCTGGAGGACCGAGAGAGACTCTGTCTTAAAAAAAAAAATTAAAAATTAAAAAAAAAAGGCGAGGGAGGGGGTGGTTCTCTTTCCCAGGCTGGTGTAGTGGTTCAATTACTTCTCCCTGCAGCCTTGACTTCCCGCACCTCGGGAGTAGCTGAAACTACAGAGGCCCACACTTGGCTTTTTTTTTTGTTTGTTTTTGGGGGGGTGGGGGTTGAGGGGTAAGGGTATGGAGGGGAGAGATGGAGTTTCTTCATGTTGTCCAGGCTGGTCTTGAACTCCTGGGCTTAAGTGATCCTTCCAAAGTGCTGGGATTAGAAGTATTTTTGAATCCCCAGTGTTAGTGTTACATTTTAAAGTCATCCCGTTTCGTATAACTTATTTTTTAAATAGTGTAATTATTTTGTCCAAATAATTTTTCATTTTCCCTCTTTGTTCTTGTATGTCTGGGTTCTAAATTTTCAGGAGCTCCAGAATTTCTTTTTTTTGGGGGGAGGGGGAGGAAGGCAGAAAGGAAGGGAATAAGGACGGTAGGGAGGAAGGAAGGGATGAAGGAAGGAAGGAAGGGAGGAAGCGGGGAGGGAGGGAGGGAGGGAGGGAAGGGAAGAAAGGAAATCAAGCAATGAAAGAGACATTGCCGACCTGGATCTAGAGGTTTACAAGTTGATTTCTTTTTTTGAGAGAGAAGGAAAGAAATAAATAAGTAAAGGAGAGGAAGAAAGAGGGAGAGTAAATGGAAATATTGCTTTATTTTGAAAAAAATTGGGTATTAATAATGGCCAATCAGTGTTTCATTTAAACTAATGGGTAGGTGTGATGTGGTATTGACAAGAATGTATATTTTGTGTATTTGAAGTGGAGAGCTCTATAAATATTTATTAAGTTTACTTGTTCTGGATCTGAGTTCGAGTCCTTGATATCCTTATTAATTTTCTGTCTCATTGAATCTATGTCTCCTATCTGGGTGTTAGGATCGTTAGCTCTTGTTGTTGCATTGATCCTTTTACCACTATATCTTTGTTGCTTTAAAATCTATTTATCCGATATGAGAATTGCAACTCCTGCTTTTTATTTATTTATTATTTATTTTTGCTCTCCATTTGGTTGGTAAATCTTTCTCCATCCCTTTGTTTTGAGTCTTTGTGTATCCTTGCATGTGAAACAGGTCTGGATGTAACATGCCGTTGGGTTTTGGCTGTGTCTTTTGATTGGGAATTCAGTCAATTTAAATTTAGGGTTACTGCCATTTGATGTTGACTGGCTGTTTTATCCATTTGTTGGTGTAAATTCTTTATGTTGGTGCTCTTTACTTTTTGGTGTATTTTTAGAAAGGCTAATACTGGTTGTTTCTTTCTGTGTGTAATGCTTCTTTCAGAAGCTCTTGTAAAGCAGGCCTGGTGGTAATAAAATCTCTGAGTTCTTGCTTGTTCATAAAAGATTTTATTTTTCCTTCAGTTGTGAAGCTTAGTTTGGCTGGATATGAAATTCTGGGCTGAAGGTTCTGTTCTTTGAGGATGTTGAATATTGGCCCCACTCTCTTCTGGCCTGTAGAGTTTCTGCTAGGAGATCTGCTGTAAGTCTGATAGGCTTGCCTTTGTGGGTAATCTGACCTTTCTCTCTGGCTGCCCTTAGTATCCTCTCCTTCGTTTCAACCCTGGTGAATCTAAAGATTATGTGCCTTGGGGTTGCTCTTCTTGAGGAATATCTTTGTGGTGTTCTCTGTATTACCTGGGGTTGAATGTTGACCTGCTTTGCTAGTTTAGGAAAATTTTCCTGAATAATATCCTGAAGGGTATTTTCCAGCTTGGATTCATTCTCTCCATCGCATTCAGGTACACCTATCAAACGTAAATTTGGTCTTTTCACATAGTCCCACATTTCTTGGAGACTTTGCTCATTCCTTTTTATCCTTTTTTCTCTAATCTTTTCTTCACGTTTTATTTCATTAAGTTGGACTTTGACCTCTGATATCCCTTCTTCTGCTTGAACAATTCGAGTGTTTAAACCTGTGCATACTTCTCGGAGTTCCTGTATTGTATTCTTCAGTTCCATTAATTCACTCATACTCCTCTCTAAGTTGTCTATTCTCAATAGGATTTCATCAAACCTTTTTTCAAAGTTCCTAGTTTCTTTACGTTGGGCTACAACATGTTCTTTTAACTCACCGAAGTTTGTTATCCATTCCTTGAAGAGTGATTCTGTCATCAGGATGCGCTCGTTCTCCATCAAGCCTTGTTTCATTGTTGATGTGGAACTGTGATCATCTTTAGAGGGAGAGGCGTTCTGACTTTGAGTATTCTCAGCTTTTTTACGCTGGTTTCTTCCCATCATTGTAAATTTATCCTCCTGTCGTCTTTGAAATTACCAACTTTCAGATTAGGTCTCTTGAGTGGACGTCCAGGTTGTTAGTTCCCAGGGCCAGAGCAGCCGCGTTAAAACTGATGGTGCTTTTCTGCCCAGGATTCTCCTGTTGGCCTTCCTTCTTGTGTCGGTAGTAGGCGACTCTGCCTTCCCGGGGCTCCAAACCTCAGAAGGGGAACCTGTCCCGTTTACTCTGCGCTGAGCACTGTGTTTCCACCACTGGGGGATCTTCTGCTCCGTGAGCGACCAGACTTTGTCTGAAAGTGTGGAGTCCTCTAGTTCTCCGCGCCTTCCCTGAGAGCTGCAATCCCAGGATGTTAGCGATCGGCCATCTTGGATCGTTCTCCAGAATTTCTATATCTAGTTTATTTGATTTAAGCTCTGATTCTTGTAAAATAATCAGAATCAAGTTCCAGGATTTTACAATAAAACTGGAAAACAAAGTGTAGGATAATCATTCCAAATGCAGGAAAAGGAATATGCTCGTGAATACTTACGTCAGCATTATTTATGTGGTACACATGTCAAAAGTTTGGGGAATGATAAGAAAATTATTACTGAGTGGAATATTGGACAGCGTCGACTATACACAGTTTTAGACTGTAGCCTGATATAATGAGGATTCTATATTGTTGAGTCCATGAGTACAGCTTTGCAAAAATACACCTTAAAAAACATTCTTGGCCGGGTGCCATGGCTCATGCCTATAAATCCAGCACTTTGGAAGGCCTTGGTGGGCAGATCACTTGAGGTCAAGAGTTCAAGACCAGCCTGGCCAATATGATGAAACCCCACCTCTACTAAAAATACAAAAAAAAATTAGCCAGGTGTGATGTTGCGCACGTGTTACCCCAGCTACTTGGGAGGCTGAGGCAGGAGTATCGCTTGAACCCTGGAGCCAGAGGTTGCAGAGTCAAGATCATGCCACCGCACTCCAGCCTGGACGACAGAGCCAGTCTCCGTCTCAAAGAAAGAAAGAAAAACA